AACAAATACAAATACAAATAGATTTAAAGGGACTTTGTAACATTTTTCAGATGAGAGATAGTGGTGCTAAGGTAGTGACTTCAATGCTATATGTACAATTAAAGATAATCTGAAAATTTGAGCGAAAACGGACCATTATTCATGGTACAAATTGGTAAAAACTAATCTGATCGATTCCTTAATTCTCCCAACTATATTATTACAATTTAATTACATTTTAGGTGAATGGCAATCTTACAAAGCAATAAAATGGCTCTACATTCCATTCCAGACAGTAAGTAACATTTTATACAAAAATTAAGCAATTTTTTTCATCAACCTTCAACAATGTTACCAAGTCACTTTAAAGTGAATTAAATGCGTCACAAAATTCAAATTATTTACATAAGTCGATTGTGAGAACAACCTTGACTTAAACCGCAAAATAAGTAATTATATACACCTTTCTTTGTAAACAAAATGAAAATGAATTATCACAGAATCAAACGAAACTTACACTAAATGTTCAAGATTGCAAATAAATGTCATTTGCCAAACAATTTTGGTAGAAAATGTATACTGGCTGAGAAATGAGCATATAAAGATAAGGAAATCAAGGTAAGTATAGGCCCGACACCATTTGTCTAGTCCCACATACATCTTTCTGTGTACAGTGCTTGTTACTTTGCAAGACTGGGCCAAATTTATTATGATTTTAATGACTCGAGAACCTTGCAGTACACACCAATACTTACATGCTACATGATCGAATTTTTCTGATCCATTCCACACCTTTTCTTTCACATTGCAATCGCATAACAAGAACTCAACTTTATTTTTAACCTTTGAAATATACGACACAAATAGGAATTTTTCTCCACTGTCATTTGTGTTATTTTGTGTTTCTACAGGATTTCAAATACCTTGATATTCTGGTTTCCCGTACTTTGCCAGGTAGGCCTACGTACTTCTGTTCAAAAAACAATAACCAGGTTAAATTGCGTTTGTGGAACAGCGTATACCCGTCACCAGAGGTGGATTTCTCCAGATACGCTCGCCTTCTCATTTATGTAGAAACGTTTCCAGACTTCCGGTGATTTGGTCACGTGACACAACACATTGCTACCTGCAGTGCATACTTTCCAGACGTACAGTATCTTTCCATAATATTACTGATAGGAAAGAGTCTGGATATTGGACCTGGACATTCAACAGGGACTGTCCTTCTAAATATTACAGAAGATTGATTGTTCTTATTGTAACAATTTACTTAAAGCTAGAAGGCGTTTGATACAGTTGATTACTCCATCCTCAATATCAATTTTAAATTGGAGTCGATACTGTGCGTGGTTCAACTACATGGTATAGTTACCTGACTAATAAAATACACAGTTGTTAATTAAGTTAATGTATAGATCAAACGAGTTAAATGTTAAGTGTGAATATAAGTACCCTCCTAATTTCTGCCATCTATGTCAATAATCTATCAAGGTGAATCTTTACAAGAATGCCTTGGCCGTTGGTTCCCTCGATGCCTTGTATAATGAATCGCATATGTGCTGTATTTCTGATGTGTATGTGAGTAGGCTTTTATTTGAATAAATACAATTGAACTTGATCTTTTAAATAGACGAATAATGTATAATAATTAACTTGCCTATAGCCGTTGCTGCTTGCTTTTCTCGTTTTGTTCTAAATATTTATTGTACCTTATTGTGCTCCATTGCTATTTAGTACATGTATTGATCACTCCTATCTCCCCTCCAGTCATTCACCTTCCCTCACTTCCATGATCTCAAACAGAATCCCATTATCCCTAGACGTACAGTACTTCATTACCACATAATACCATAGCAACCCTGATAAACAGTCGACCAAAGACCAATCAAAAGCATGTTTAAGTCACCAATCCAAAATTGTTTCACTCCCAAAACCAAACAGAATTCCTGGTAGCAAAGTTTTCCGAATCGGGGGACTTGAATTTTAACCATCAACCGGCGAACACATACTTCTTGTAATCTCTATACAATGCAATTGTATTGAGAGTTGCTGAACTCTGCCAAATAATTACATCTGTATTGAACTGGAAATATAACTGGTATTCTGCTTTTTCATGGACTTCTCATCAAAAACCGATCCCCAATCACGACACCATTATATATGTTGTATTTTTTGTGCACCCTGTCAATGACACATACGATATATGTACTACAGTGTGTCATGCATGGACCTTGGTTTTCAATATTCATTTCTTTGTTGATATATATGTTGTATTTTTGTTGTACCCTGTCAAGAACACATACGTCATTATTTTGTACTACACTTTGTCATGGACCTGGGTGCTCAATATTCGTTTCTTTGTTCTCATCATGTCTGCCTATTTCTTTTGAATAAAGATGACACCTATAATATCACCCTATACTAGTTATACCACAGCGGTTACTGCAGGTGTTATAAATGCTGACCTTGTCCTTTGTTCGAAATGTTTGAATTCAAACAGATATTATGAATTCGAATCTTTGCTATAATAGTGTGTTGTAATTAATTGTGTTATTGCATTATTTTCATTGATAATTCACTTACTTCATTTATTGATTACTATATTACGTTGTAATCTTAACTGTATGTTAATGTTTATATTTTTTGCCCTGCTTTGGTCAATCCAGTCCTTTTCCATGTATGCTATATTGTGATATATACTTGTATAACTACGATCTATTTGTACCACTGTCTATTTTGATTATGAAATAAAGGCTCATTGTTCGAATGTCTCTCACTTTTGGAGAAGGGGTACCTCTATTCCCCCATTTCGATTATCGTAATAGGTATTACTCCATTTCAAGTTTGTATTTTATTTGCTCTGTGTACATATTTGCTATAATATTTGAGTGGTTTTATACTTGCGCCATACAATAGTATAATCAGCCAAAGTACCATTGCAAACTGACATTGCTATTTATGATGATTACAAAATCGTGGTTTCTCAGAACTAGGATTTATGGATGTAGTACCTTTTGGAAGCGAGATTATTATGTTGGTAAATGGATAGAGCGTCAGAGAGATATAGAGTGAAAGAAAGATCAAGAGAGAGGGAGAGAGATAAAGAAAAGATAGAGAGAGATAGAGAGTGAAAGAAAGATGAAGAGAGAGGGAGAGAGATAAAGAGAAAGATAGAGAGAGATAGAGAGAGGAAGATGGAGAGAGAGAGATGAAGAGAGATACATACATTCAATTCGACCCGTGAACCTAACACACGCGCAACGAGACATACACAGGCCTACCCGCAATTTAAATTCAGAACAAACAAGCTAAGGGAGAGTGCAATTTCACCTGTTATTAGACTACTAAATAACAACCGATGAAAAGAAAAAAGAAGGCATGACTCTTTCGTTTACCAGTACAAATTTGAAGATTACACTTTTATCTTGATATCGAGGATTATGTTATTTCTTGCATCTTGTTTGCCATATGTTGTATGTTCATGTCACTTCTTTAACTCTTCCCTTTTCCTCTGTTTTTTCTGTTTTATCCTTCTCTATCTCTTTCCTCACTCTCTTCATGTCTCCTTTTTAAAATCTCTTTTCTCCCCCTTTTGTTTCTCCTCGCTCTCCCTCTCTCCTTCATCATTGTTGGATATTTCCTATCTCTCTATCGTCATATTTTACCTCATTTAATTCAACATCTGTTATTGATTTGAATGCCGATTTATTGATTATTCTATGCAGCAACTTTCATTATGTTCATGCTACTCTACAATCATTTTTATTGTCGATGTTTTTAATGTACATCTTGAAGTGACATGGTAACTGTAAACTTTCACAATTCGGCCGTGCGGCTGCGAGGAAAGTATTACAATAAACCATTATGGATGAATGAATGATAGAAATGAAGAGAGAGGGAAATGAAGAGAGAATTAGAGTGAGGGAGAAAAAAGGTAGTATAGATTAAAGACCACCGCATACTACTCCCGCGTCCTCCATTCCGGTTTTCTAAGAAATTACAATGTTGTTGCATAGGAGCAGATAAAAGGGACACTTATTGAAAGGTAAAAAAAGGGGCATTAATGAGAAACGAAAAAGGTTCTTATTAAAATGATTGAAGATGCACTTATCAGCTGAAAATTCAGTAGAAATCTTTTTTAAAAGAACATAATAATAATAATAATAATGATAATAATAATAATATTATTATAATAATAACAATATGTTCAGCTATATACTACCCCGGCTGTGTAGCTGTATGATCTCCCATGATAAGGCGTTTAAACGTTTGTAGTGGCCAAATGTCTATATTTTAAACTTTTGCTGAAATTGGAGTTTACTATTGCATGTGTAATAGTGTTTTACAAGTGTTATCCATGGATGTGTACAAGTTTAATATGTATTGCTTTCAAATTTCTCAAAATGGCGACTAGAGAGACCTAATTTCCCTTGCGTGGTATTTTTCCCACTCCATCTGTTTTGCTTTGCAGACATGTTCCAACCGGTTTTGTCTGGTTTGTTAATAGATTATTTTGTTAGGTAAATTTTACATTATTACGTACAGTACTTATATTAGCATATTAATTGTATGCGTTGATTTCAACCAATCATGCTGCTGTGGTTATTGGGGCAGCTGGCTCTGCTTGTCACGTGAAATCAGTGGGTTTTTTGGTATCAGTTTATTCTGTATTTTATTTCATATTTCTCGGTAACGAGAATACATGAGAGCCCGCCCGCAACGCTACAATCAATACGTTCGTCGCGCTTACATCGTATGATATACGAAATCTTCGAGCTGCAAAAATCTGTTTATATTTTTGCAATCCTTCGTTTCCGGCAGAGTTTTTTGCCGAATTCCACTCGTAGAAAAGTTTCTGACACTTTTGAAACGGGTTTTGTTCTAAAATGGACAAATCTTGGGACTCTAAAAACAATTTTGAAATCCCATCTTCTGCTCGGTGCCTGCCGGGCACGAGCAAGTCACCATCGGAACCTGCATTCACGGGGACGGGTACTAACCCGCAGGCAGCCGGGACTATAATGCCTACCTTACCCGGTGCTTCTCCCCCGACGAGTAAGGCAAAGCCGAGCTCGGGCAACGCTGTGGGTACTCCCAAATGCAAAATTAGTAGCAAGGCAAAGCCGAGCGAGCAAGAAAATACTATATCGTCTAAGACGAAAGTCAAATCCTCTGACAATAAATATGTTGGTAAGGCTAAGCCGAACCGCGAGGTTGACAACACGAGCAAGGCTAAGCCGCGCTCGGACTCAAAATCGAAGTCTGTGGATTCACGCATTGATAAGCTGGAAGACATGCTTTCTGTGTTAATGGAGAGAATCCCTGCCCCGGCACAGCCGGCTCTGGCCCCACAGACATTCTCCTCTCCGGTTGATAAAAACACGGAGCCCCTCTCGGTAGGAAGATTGACCTCGGGGGAAGGCCTTTTGGCCGATGATTTTTATGATGGAAGTGAATCGCCAGGTAGCGAACTTCTTTATGATACCGACGATGTCGGAAGCATGAGCAGAGCTGTTGGTAGTGTGCCTACTACTGCCGGCAAGGGACAAGATCCAATTCCCATGATCGCCGCAAAATTTGCCATGCCCTCGGGGATTGGTGCCCCCTTACATGACGACATAGCTCAATCTATGACTTATTTGATGAGCAACAAACTGGAAGAAAAATCTCTGGATGAGGCGGCTGAGAAATATCTTTCCCCCGAAAACTGTGAATTGCTTGACACTCCAAGAGTGAACACAATTATTTGGGAAAACTTGCGTTCAGCAACTAGAAATAAAGATCTGAAAATTCAGTACATCCAGAAGTCATTAACCAAAGGCTTGTGTGCTTTCGCACGATCTCTGAACCCGGTTACAATGACCGAGGAGCAGCATGATGCATTGGCGCTGCTATGTAATGCCAATTACGGCCTAAATTCCATGAGGAAGAATTTGATCAAACCGGATCTCAACCCTCTTTTTCATCATCTGTGCCGGCCAACTTACCCAGTTACCAAACACTTGTTTGGCGAGGATCTGGGGCGCCAGGTTAAAGAACTGCAAGAACAGCAAAAAGCCACGGCAGGTGTTATGAACACGAGAAACCAGCCTCAAGACAGGCATCAACGCTCATATCATCCTTATCGCAAGGTTACAGACTATGCCAATCGAGATCAAGGCAATTCGTCATCCCGTATGTATGGGAACTCAGAGCGCCCTTTTGTAGGGCAGCGCCAGAATTCCAACTTCAAGAAAGGGAATTCAAAACAACAGGCATCACACACCTACACCCCAACAGCAGCCAACAGGGGCAAACAATCGTACCATCGCAAGAAGTAGTCGAGGGAATTTCCCCTTCAGGCTCAAGCACTCAAGAGGTTAGTGTTTGTAATGAAGCCGTGTCTGATATGGTCGGAGGTCGACTGAAGCCATTTTATGAAAATTGGTGCAAAATTACTTCAGATCCATTCTTACTTCAAGCTATCCAAGGCTACAAATTGGAATTTGATCCAGACAAATTCCCCCCCCCCCCATACAAGACAAGCCCCTCCACACTTACAAGCGAAATGCTATGGAGATGGCTAAGATCCATGAGGAGTTGAACACTCTAGAAAATAAAAACGTCATTGAGCGTTGCTCACACGTCAATGGTGAATTCATTTCACACATTTTCACAAGACCAAAAAAGAATGGAGGAGTTAGACTAATTCTGGATTTGTCCAAACTTAATAAATACATTACTTATTACCATTTCAAAATGGACAACATTTTCACTGCTGTCTCCCTCTTGTCTGAGGGAGACTTCATGGCTTCAGTCGACCTTCGCGATGCATACTACACGGTACCCATTCATACAGAATCTAGAAAGTACCTTCGCTTTGTGTGGCAGGGACAATTATGGCAATTTAAAACCCTGCCAAGTGGGCTTAGCTCTGCCCCCAGGCTATTTACTAAGCTTCTCAAACCTGTGTTTGCCTGTCTTAGACAATCCAAACACAAAGTTGTTGGATATTTGGATGACACTATAATTATTGGTAAAACCAAGTCTAGAACACTAGAATCCGTGACAGCTACTACAATGTTACTGAGTAGACTGGGATTCATAATTCATCCAATAAAGTCGGTGCTTGAACCGACTCAAGAAATTGAATTTCTTGGATTCAGACTTAATACAATTAGAATGGAAATTACACTGCCTGTTAACAAAGGCAAAGACGTAAGAGAGGCATGCATTGGGTTGCTAGAGAAGAAAGCCCCCTCCATAAGGGAAGTTGCGAAGATAATTGGGAAAATAGTAGCAACATTTCCAGCTTCTCAGTATGGGCCACTGCATTACAGGGCACTAGAGAAAAAGAAAATAGCAGCATTAAGGTGCAATAAAGGGCACTTTGACAGGCCCATGGTACTTTCACCTAAATCTAAAGATGAAATAAACAGGTGGGTTTCAAATGTTACTTCAGTTAAGTGCCCTATGCATCATGGGAAATTCATGATGGAATTGCGCACCGATGCCAGTGGAAAAGGCTGGGGTGCTACAGATCTAAAATCACAAACAGGGGGCAGATGGAACAGCCAAGAATTAGCTAGGGCTCACAATAATGAAATAAATTATCTTGAGACCCTTGCAGCAGGCCTCGGGTTGAAAGCTTACTGTTCTAACATGAGAAATACACATGTTCTGATTAGGCTTGATAATATGACAGCAACTGCGTACCTCAATAATATGGGAGGTATTAGATCACACTCCTGCAATGAAATTGCCAGTCAAATTTGGGAGTGGTGTAAGGATAGAAATATTTGGTTAACGGCTGCTCATCTCCCAGGTACTCTAAACGTCGAAGTAGACCGCATGTCTAGGAAATTTAATGACAACATTAGTGGCTCGATAGGGCTATGTTCAAGTCAATAGTGGGTAGATATGGTCTGCCAGAGGTAGATTTGTTTGCAACTAGACTCAACGCTCAGCTACCAAAGTATATTTCGTGGATGCCAGACCCTAATGCTTGGGCAGTGGATGCATTCACCGTAGACTGGGGTACTCTCAATTTTTATGCCTTCCCACCTTTCAACATAATTCCAAGGTGCCTACAGAAGATTAAAGTAGACAATGCACGAGGCTTATTGGTGGTACCAAACTGGCCTACACAAGCCTGGTTCCCCATTCTTGAAGAAATGTTGCTTGAAGAGCCCATGCTTTTGCCATGGAACATTTCACTTCTCACTCAGCCAGTGTCTGACAGTCCTCACCCTCTCACTAATCTTGATCTCCTTTGTTGCAGGCTTGGCGTGCACACTGTGACCTACATGGATTAACAGAGAGAACTACAGACATTATTGGTGCATCATGGAGAGAATCAACAAAGAAACAATACAACATTTACATCTCCAAGTGGAAAATTTTCTGCGAACAGCACAAACTTCCATGGATGCAGGCTAAAGCTAAGGATATTTTAGAGTTTTTCAGTGACCTTTTTTACAGACATAATGCTAGCTATAGTGCTATCAATACAGCAAGGAGTGCCCTGGCATCAGTCATGAGTTTGGATGATAGCAACTATACGATTGGTTCACATCCTATCATAAGCAAGTACATGAAAGGTGTTTTCCAGCTAAGAACTCCAACCCCACGCTATGCTCAGGTTTGGGACGTCAGTATTGTATTGGATTACCTTCGTCTTCAACCAGCTAATGATAAGCTTCCTTTGTGTAAATTGACTCAAAAATTGAGCATGTTACTTGCGCTTACTTCAGCACAAAGAGTACAAACTCTTTGGAACCTTAATTTGGACAAGATGTGTTTGAAGACGGACTCGGTGGAATTCCACGTTGATAGCCTGCTTAAGCAGAGTAAACCAGGAAATGTTGGTATAATGGTGAAGATATCAGCATTCCCAGAGGATGAACGGCTTTGTGCCGTACATTGCATTGAACAATATATAAAACTGACAAAAGAAATAAGGAAGTCAGAGAGACACCTGTTCATCTCGTTTCGGAAGCCACACAAAAGGGCATCCTCGCAAACAATTTCGAGATGGATCAGAGTTGTGATGAAAATTTCTGGCATCGATACGGACCAGTACAAGTCTCACTCTACAAGGGCAGCATCTACTTCAATAGCCAAGAAGATGCACATCCCAATGGATGTGATTCTCAAGCATGCCGGTTGGGCCAATGAGAAAACTTTTGAAAAATACTACAACAAACCAGTGAATACGGGACATTCTACTTTCACTCAAGCAGTCCTACATCACTGATTCTGATTTCTACCAGGACCAGGTTAGCTATTCCTGATATTTGTTGACAAATTATTGTCGCATATGTGACTACTGAGCTTTGAAGTCTCATGTATTCTCGTTACCGAGAAATATGAAATAAAATAGGAGGATTAAACGAGAACTTACAGTTTGAAGTTTGATCCTTATTTTATGAGTATTAGGAGGTTAGAGAATACATGCCCTACCTCTCCCTCCCTTGCTCAGGATCATTAGTATGTTCTCATCAGTCCTATTTTATTTATTTTATTTGTTCATCAGTAGTCACAGTTGCTTTGAAGATTGATTGTAGCGTTGCGGGCGGGCTCTCATGTATTCTCTAACCTCCTAATACTCATAAAATAAGGATCAAACTTCAAACTGTAAGTTCTCGTTTAATCCTCCTATTATACAGCACAACACTGTATATCTGTTTTGAAGTTCGGTGCAAAAAATGCTCGTACGAGATCGCGGTGGTTTTTTTTTAAATCTCGGAATAACAACATTGCAATATATGTAGGCCTACATGTATGTCGTCTATACACATTCGAGATTTAGCTACGTTGAGTAGTTGGTGGGTATGTGACATTGATGAGAGATTGGACGAATATTCACGCGGTCTTAATTTAGTTTGCAGGCGCATTAAACCATTGCCAGTCGTTATACTCGGAGCAAATAATAGCGGCACGGTATCGCCTATCCATCTTTGTCCCATACGTTGGAGGCTGTTGGGACGACAACAAAAGAAAAACATTGAGACACAGCTTCTTCATAACTTCATGTCTTCAGCTGTTTTAGTTAATTGGCTGATCAAATAGCCTATACTTTAGATATAATAGTCTAGAAATTACAGGGAGACACTCAGATCAGTTGAATTGCCATCATGGATGGGGATGATTTGACACCTCTCCAAACAGCAGCATCCAAAGGTGACCTCAATGGTGTAAAGCTTCTAGTTGGCCAAGGAGCAGATCTAAATGAGGCTGTTGTAAAGGGCGGGACACCTCTCCACATGGCATCATCCAATGGTCATCTCGATGTTGTCAAACTTCTCATTGACAAAGGAGCAGATATAGATAGCACTAATGATTATGAAGACCGTACACCTCTTTATGCGGCATCATCCAATGGTCATCTCGATGTTGTAAAACTTCTCATTGACAACGAGGCAGATATAGATAGCACTAATGATTATGAAGAACGTACGCCTCTTCTAGCGGCATCATTCGAGGGTCACCTTGATGTTGTACAGACCCTCATTGACCATGGAGCAGATATAAACATGGTAGATAAAGATGGCATGACGCCTCTTCACGCGGCATCATCCTATGGTCAACTCGCTGTTTTAAAGGCTCTCATTGACATAGGAGTAGATCTTAATGCGGGTGATAATGAGGGCAACACACCTCTCCATGCGGCATCATCCGGTGATGTATACGATACTGCACAGGCTCTCCTTAACCATGGAGCAGAAGTTGATACGGGAAATTTTTGGGGAAAGACCCCTCTTCACCTGGCATCATGCGAGGGTAACCTCAATATTGTACAGCTTCTCATAAGCCACGATGCAGATCTAAATTCGAATGAGTCTGGAATGACACCTCTCCATGAGGCATCATCCAATGGTCACATCGATGTTTTACAGGCTCTTATTTACAAAGGAGCAAATTTTAATATAGTTGATGAAGATGGCATGACACCTCTGCAACTGGCATCATCCAATAATGTAGAACAGGCTCTTATATTTGCTATGGATGGAACAGAGGAGAACTATTAAACAGGGCTCATAATGAACGATGGCTGCACATCTCTCCTTGCGCTTTCAATTGAGAATGGTAAGTTCAGTTGTTTTGCAAATCATTTTGTACAGATGAAAAAAGTTTTGTTGGGAGAATTTTTTTAATTTTACCCTTAAAATGGCGTAAATCTGAAAGAAGTTTTACTCACAAAGTTATTTCTTACTTAATTCTGTTGTAGTTGCAATTTCTCTTCCTTTATCTACCTACTAAAAGCACTAAACATCAATTTCAGAGGTATCTATTTTCCCCTATTAAAACACTGGTAACGAAATTACGTGGTAACGGAATTACATTGGTAATGGAATTACAAGGGGCAGCAGCACGAATAATAAGTGGTATGTTTTTTCAAGAGATGGACCTGCTGCCTCATGTAAATATACTGTATGCTGTGTTACAATATTTTTAATGGAGTACCCCCCCCCCTTTTTTTTTTAATATAAAGTATTGGCTTATTATATTAATTTTCTAATTAAAGACTAAGGATCTGGCTTTGATAAATTCATTTTTTTTTCAAATTTGCATGAAGACTACAAACAAGGCTCGGAATTTTAAATGTGTTTATTTCCATTCACTCACTCTGAACTTAAAATTAAAATTGTATCAACATCTCTTATGATACGTTTTGATTTAAGCATGGAAATACTTCATATTATTTCACCTAAGGCAATTTTAAACAGTGTCTTTCCTGATCTTTATTCTTCACTGATCTCATCTAATCCATTTAAGAAAAAAAAATCATTAGAAGTTAGATGTAGCAAAGACCATAGCGGACTAGCCCTCTTACATACGGTGAATTTCCATACTCTACGTACATGTAGGGTGACTTTGACGATGTCCGCTAGCACTCGGAGGAAATATTATCAAAAACACCCTCGAAAACGGCTAGGTGAGGGTTGAAGAGCAAGGTCTAATCTACCAACAAAATGATATTTCATTAAAAGTTAGATGGCTATTAAAGACCGTAGCGGATTAGTCTTCTTGCAGACGGACACTTTCCATACTCTGCACGTAATATGGATGGAGCCATTGGAGGGGGGGGGGGGGTGTTGACTTTGAATCAGTCTGCAAGCACACAGATATAAACCCTCGCTGATGACTAGGTGGCGGTTAAAAAGCAAGGTCTAATCAGGGATACAAGCCCTGGTCTAATCTATCGAAAAAATAACATTTTATAAAAAGTTTGAAGGCTTTGACAGGTAGCGGACTAGTGTTCTTGCAGACGGTCACTTCCCGACTCGTAACGCGAAAAACATATGGGACTGAGGGAAGGGAAGGGGTGGCAGGGTAACTCTGACTACTGTAGGTCTGCTAGCGCTCAGAGAAAATACACTAACAAACAACAAGGTGGTGGTTATTAAAAGGGGAAGGTCTAATCTACCGAAAATCGTATATTTCATTAGAAGCAATCTGTATTTCGCAATACTCTACAAATTCGCAAAAGAAGTGGGTAAAAAAAAGTACGAAACAACAGATGGCTAAAACCATAGCGGACTCGCCTTCTTGCAGACGGTTAATTTCCATACTCTACGTATTATACTTTACATATGGGACTAAGGGAAGGGGGGGGGGCTGGCAGGGGGCCTTTGACGAGATCTGCTAGCGCAGTTTCCAATCCGGTGCTAGGTTTTGTGGATTGAAATTGTAGTGTGGAATTATATGACGAGGTTTGTAATTAATTTGTAATTAAATAAAATGATAACCAGTGCTCCCTCTAATGCCCTTTGTCACAAAACTGACTCAGCAGGTTGAAAAATTGGCTCAAAAGAAATATGAGATTGGGGAATGATTTACAAATTCTGGTGTGAAATATTATTGCAACGCTGTTGACAAAATAATAGGTACATGTATATTATTAGCACTTAAATGTTTTTGTAACATGAACATGTTTAAGTGCTGAAATGTAACCATCCACGACGAACCGGTTGTAAAGTTGCAATTTTCACTAGATTTAGATCAAACCTGCATAAGATAAGCTTTACAATAATAGAAATTTCTTTTTCCTGGCTCATTTTTCCTGATTGAGGTGTCATTATCATATGAAAGGGCACAAAATGAACTTTTTAGAAATGTGAATTTTCTTCGAAATTCAGATACCGCCCGCCAAATGACTTTTTGGTTTCTTTCCTTCAAATTGCTTTTAATCACTTATGCGTGAAATATGCATCTTATGAGTTGCATCAAATGAAAGAAGGGGATCTAAGCTTTACAAATATGTGTCATTTATTAATTATAATTGTGATAACGTTATAATAAAACATCGATAATTCTCGATTTCGCTTTTTCGGGGTCGCACAGTATATGTTTTAAAACAAAGTTTCCTCAAATAAGGTTTGACCTTCTAGTTGAATAACATTATTATTATACAATAGTTCAATCCCTCTGTACCTCTCTCCTGTTTTAAACATATTCTTATTTGTTACAGCAGGGCTTCCTTGTAAAGCAGGCCTTGCGGCTTGAATGGGACTACCCTGCTTTTTATAAAGAAAACATGAATAAATAAATAAATAAATAAATTCATATCTATCCATGGTTTCAGAAGATTCTGATGAAAAGAAGGTAATATGAGTTTCACTGTATCTCTCCAATAATTTCAATAAAATATTAAATTCCCTCCTATCGGTCTCATTAAATATTAACAGTATTGTTTCCATTTGATATCATGAGTTCCTGTTACAAGCTTTTTTATCCACAATATTCTTTGTGCTTTTACAAAGAACCAAAAATTCATCATTTTGAGCCCACCCTGCTGATAGTCTAAACTCATTGTACTTCTTTTAATTTTTATCTTTACCTCTCCACAAGAAATCAAAACATATTATTTCATTTCCTTTGTATACCCACTCTGGAACTGGCATTAGTGATGTTACATATGTCAATTTAGGATGACCATATACTTTCATCAATTGCATTTTACCCATTAAAGTTAAGTCACGCTGTTTCCACCACGTCAGTAGTTTTTAAATTTTGCTCAATATTTCCTTAATATTCATTTTTCCTTGATATCTACATGTACTGAAAAATAAACGCCTAATATTTTAACAACATCTACAAGCTTCCCAAACGGAAACGTATGATTAGACACCTCTGTGGGTACAGGGGAAGAATATATGTCTTATCTTTGTTTAACTTCAATCCTGACATTTATAAAAAAAAACTTTTAAAACATGTTCTATTTCCTTAACTGAACTCATATCTGTGATGAAGAGTGTTATATCACCCGCATACAATACTTGCTTTATTTCTGTATTTCCAAAACAAATTCCTTTTACCAAGTGATTATTTCTAATCATATGAGCTAAAGTTTCAATGCAAACAATAAATAAGTATGGAGATAATGGGTCTCCTTGTCTAATTCCTCTTTCAACCTTAAAATAACCTGTTCATGTGTATCCATTCATAACACAACTTTCAGTATTAGTATAAAGTATATTCACCCATTTACAAAACATGGTCCAAACTCAAATGATTTTAAGACTTTGTATAGAAAAAAATGAGAAACGGATCGGTAAAATGCCTTTTCAAAATTTAAAGCCATCAAAAAAGCATTTTCAATATAAAAAGAAGTATGAAAAATCATATCATCGATTATTGTTATGGCTTCTCCAATGTTTCCAGCCAAGTTGATTAGAAGCTACAATATCAGGTAAAATTTCATGCAATCTCTTTGATAGTATCTTTGTTAAAATTTTATAATCCACATTTAATCGGTCTGTAAAACTTAATAAAGTCTGAATCTATGTCATGTTTATGTATTAAGGGTGATAAGTGCTTGTCTCTGAGAGGCTGATAGTTCTCCATGTTTAAAAGCTCCATTAAAAGATGCAAGGACTATATCTACAATTACTGGCCTAAATTTAAGATCAAATTCTACACTTAATCGGAAGCTCTAAAGTTTCCTTAAATTATTAAAGAAAGAAGACGATTCGTCGTACCGTTCTCGACTCGTCTAAATGAAGTTTTCCACTTCCGCGCGAAGCGCGGAATTTTTTGCGTTTCATCACAATATAGAGAAAGGAAGACGATTCCTCGTACCGTTTTCGAATCTTATTGAGCCCTTTTCATCTGAATTCAGTTTCCCCCTCTCGCGCGAAGCGCGGAAGCTTTGACGTTTCCTTAAATTATTAGAGAAAGAACACGATTCGTTGTACCGTTTTCGACTCTAAATAAGCCCTATTAAATTTGTCTGAATTCAGTTTCCCCCTCTCGCGCGAAGCGCGAAAGCTTTGACGTTTCATCAAATTATTAGAGAAAGAACACGATTCGTTGTACCGTTTTCGACTTTTAATAAGCCCTATTTGTCTGACTTCAGTTTCCCACTCTCGCGCGAAGCGCGGAAGCTTTGACGTTTCCTTAAATTATTAGAGAAAGAACACGATTCGTTGTACTCGTCTAAATAAAGTTTCCCCTTCCGCGCGAAGCGCGGAATTTTTGGCATTTCATCACAATATAAAGAAAGGAAGACGATTCGTCGTACCGTTGTTGACTCTTAAACCTTGTTTGAATTTAGTTTTCCCGAAAATTTTAAATCTCTGATTTCTTTAGCTGATATTATAGGAAAGTGAAACTTCGAGAAAATACAAGTATTGTAGTTGTAGTCACTCTCGAAGTCGTCACAGCGGATAAGAAGTCACAGTTCGTAGCGAAAAAAACTTGTTTGCCGACCGACAATAAACATCTCACCGACTTCAAACTCCTGCATTGATATAGTACACGAGGATCGAGCAAGAATACCAACACAGCTGACCCGACACATGAACATATTTACCCGTGTCTTTCCTGCTCCCTCGACGAGACGACTCCACCCAACAACCCCCTTTTCTCTTTTACTCCCACTCCTCCTCTCAGACTCTTACCTCCCCTCTCTCTCCTCTCTTTTACCCCCGTTTCTTTTGTTTCCCTTTCACTCTTTTTTCTTCTTGTTTCCTTTTCTTCTTTTCTTTCTTTTACTTTCTTTCCTCTCCTCCCTCTTTTTCTTTTT